AAGAAAATATAAGAAAATTGGGGAAAATGTCCTACCCACAAAAAAGATCGTATATGATTTTGAAAAAAAAATAAAATACAAAAAAATGTATAAAAAATAGTGGGGGTGTATATTCAAACACGAACAAGACCAGAAAAAGAAAGAAACAAGAAAATCAACCAAAACAAAACAAAATAAAATGTTAGAAAAGACGAAGAAAAAAGTATTCAAAGACGTAATATAAATCTTGACGTCACAGGTTCCTCGCGCGGGTGAAGAAAAAGTGTCCGAATGAAGCCACACTTCGTCTCACGCTCTAATTAAATGCACTGTGACTATCCTGTGGCGGACCGCGCTGCACTGGGTTTTCTTGAGTGTCCAATAGTCTCCTCATATCACACGCAGACGCCGTAAGGAGAATATCGACGTGAAACTGACGGAAATATCTGTACCCTTCACACGCACATACATACATATATACATACATACGTACATGCATTCATACATACATACACACATACTTACATATACACACACAGATACATACATACACACACATAAACACAAAGACATCACATTCACATACACACACACACACACACACACAGAGATACATAACATACACACATATAAACAAAAACACATATACATAAACACAAACGCACACACACAGATACATACACACACACACATAAACACAAAGACATCACATTCACACACACACACAATCACAACAACAACAAAAATCGAATCCGACGACAAATGAACCCGATTCGGTACAGTTCCGAAATCGAGCGCGAAGACCTTTAGGCGGCGGAGGGAGGTAGGGGGGGGGAGGTGTCAGGGATACCCCTTCTTCCTCCCCCCTTTCCCCCTTCCCCCCTTCCCCCCCCTCCCCGACATTTATTATTTGGTTTAACGAGGTCGTACTGCCACGAGGGGGGGGGGGCGGGCGTCGCGTGGCTTGAGGAAGAGGATAATGATAATCAGAGGGCAAGGACGGGCGGGTTCAAGTGGCGGAGGAAGGGGTCGTGTAATAAGGGTAGAGGGTGTTGAGAAAGGGGGAGGAGAGGGAGGGAGGGGGAGTGGGAGGAGTGGAGGGAAATAAGGCGTTAAAGAGGAGGGGAGGAGGGAAGAGGGAGTGGGGAGAAATAAGGCCTTGAAGAGGAGAGGAGAGGGTGGGAGGAGTGGGGAAATACGGCGTTGAAGAGGGGAGGGAGAGGGAAAGAGGGAGGGAGGAGTGAGGAGAAATAAGGGGTTGGAGAGGGGAGCGGAGAGGGGCGAGGAGTGGGGGGAAATAAGGCGTTGAAGAGAGAGAGGAAGGGGAGGGAGAGAAAGGAAATAAGGCGTTGAGGAGGGGAAATGAGAGGAGGGAGGGAAAGGGAGTAAGGGAAATAAGGCGCTGAAGAGGAAAAGAAGAGGAAGGGAGGGTCGATATGGAGGGAGAAGGAGGGAAATATTTCGTCAGTGAGGAAGGGGTCGTAAAAAAAGGGAGGAAAAGGTGGAAAGTAGAGGTGTAGTGTTTTAGGCTAGACGAGGGAGGTTGGAGGGAGGATAAGGCCCTGGGGAAGACGGGGGAGAGGGAAGTGAAGATAAAGGCAAGGAGTTAGTGAGTATAGGCTGTGGGAATGGGGAGGGTAAAGGTAAGACATTGGGTGTGGGAGACGATGGAGAGGAAAGAGAGGAGAGAGCAGAGAGAAGAGAAGAAGAGAGTAGATGAGAGGAAAGAGAGGAAATAGAGTAGTAGAAGAGAGGAGAGAGGAGAAAGGAAGAGATGATTAGAAGAGAGAGAAGAGAGGAAGAGAGGATTAGAAGAGAGGGAATAGAGCAATAGAAGACGAGTAGAGAAAGAGATGATTAGAAGAGAGAGAAGAGAGGAAGATAGGGAGGAAGGCGTTGCGGGAGATGAGGGAAAGTAGCTGATAAAGCTAGGGGAGGTTGGGAAGGTGGAGTTATGACCAATAAAAACAATAAACAATTGGAACGAGGAAGAGAACAACAGATAGAGGAGAGGTGGCGACGGTGGACTGTGGGGAAAGTGGGGGATTGAGGGATAGGTGAAAGGTTAAGTTGGGGACGGTAGGGAAACTGGAGGGGGATAAGTGAAAGGTAAGCTGTGGGGAATAGGCTAAATGGGGGGAGTTGGGGGCGGTGGACTGTGGGAAAGTGGGGATGGGGGATAGTGGGGTAAGGGAACGATAGGGAAAGTGAGGGGATAGGTGAAAGGGTAAGTTGGGAACGATGGGGAAAGTGGAGGGGGGATAAGTGAAAGGTAAGGCTGTGGGGAAATAGGTTAAATGTGGGGGAGTTGGGGGCGGTGGACTGTGGGAAAGTGGGGGATGGGGGGATAGGTGAAAGGGTAAGTTGGGGAACGATGGGGAAAGTGGAGGGGGATAAGTGAAAGGTCAAGCTGTGGGGAAAGTGTGGGAAAAGAGGTTAAAGGTCAGGGGTTGAGGACGAAGGTTTGGGGAAAGTGTGGGATGGGGGAATAGGTGAAGATCAAGTTGGGGACGGTGGGGACAGTTGTAGGGGATAGGTGAAAGGTCAAGCTGTGGGGAAACAGGCTAAATGTGGGGGAGTTGGGGACGATGGACTGTGGAGAAAGTGGGGGATGGGGAGATAGGTGAAAGGCTAATTTGGGGACGATGGGGAAAGTGGAGGGGGGATAGGTGAAAGGTCAGGCTATGGGAAATAGGCTAAAATGTGGGGAGTTGGGGGCGGTGGACTGTGGGGAAAGTGGGGATGGGGGGGATAGGTGAAAGGCTAATTTGGGACGATGGGGAAGTGGAGGGGGGATAGGTGAAAGGTCAAGCTGTGGGGAAAGTGTGGGAAAAAAGCCTAAAGGTCAGGGGGTTGGGGACGACAGGTTTGGGGAAAGTGTGGGGATGGAGGAATAGGTGAAAGATCAAGTTGGGACGGTGGACTTTGGGGGCAAGTAGGGGGGGGATAGGTGAAAGATGGGGTGATAGGCTAAAGGTAGGGGAGTTGGGGACTGTAGGGGAAAGTATGGTGGGATAGGTGAAAGGTCAAGTAGTGGGAAAAGTATGGGGAGATAGGTCAAAGGTCGGGGAGTTGGGGACGGTGGACTATGGGGAAAGTGTGAGGGGGATAGATGAAAGGTCAAGTTGTGGGGAAAGTGAGGGGATGGGGGATAGGTCAAAGGCCGGGGAGTTGGGGACTGTAGGGAAAGTGTGGGGGTATAGGTGAAAGGTCAAGTTGTGGGAAAAGTGTTGGGAGATAGGTCAAAGGTCGGGGAAAGTATGGGGGTATAGGTGAAAAGTCAAGTTGTGGGGAGATAGGCCAAAGGTCGGGGCGTCGGGGACGGTGGACTGTGGGGAAAGCGGGGTGATAGGTGTTAGGTTAAAAAGGTTGGTGGGTTAGGGATAGGTAAGGACGGTTGGGGGAAAGATATGAACAATAAAAATAGCGTAGAGAGAACGACGATGAGAACGGGGTAGGAAGCGGTAAACGACATATTAGTGCCGTGGTGAAAGATAGTAAAGATAGGAACAGGAAGATAGGAGTGGAATATGATAAGGAAGAATATGAACAGAGAAGAAGAAAGAGATAGGAAGGCGCAAGATGAAGGATAAGAAGACAAGGAGACGAAAACGAAAATATTAGTGGATAATGGAACGAAGGAAGAAAGAAGTAGATGTGAAGGAGAAGGAAAGAAGAAAAGTGGGGAGGAGAAGGAGAAGAAAGGGAAGGGGAGGAGGGATTTTGATGAGATCTTGAGGGGGAAGAAAAGGGGAAGTAACGGGTTAGCGAAAGTAACAGAAAGGGGGAAAAAGACATAAACGAGAGAAGTAAAAAAAAAAAAAAAAAAAAAAAAAAAAAAAAGCAGAGAAGAAAGGTAAAGAAACGAACAGACAAAGAAAGCGAATGAAGAGGAGTAGAGAGAGGAAGAGAGAGTAAGAAGAAAGAAGAGAGAGGAGTAAAACAGAGGGAAGAGAGGAGTAGAACAGAGGAGTAGTGCAGAAGAAGAGGGAAAAAAGAAGCAGAAGAGATAAAAGAGAGGAGCAGAAGAGAAAAAAAAAGGAGTAAACCCGAATAAAGAAAGGAAGAAGTGGAAGGGGAAGGTAAACAGAGCCCCAGTAAGCGCCGAGTGCCGAGAACCACACGCCAGAAGTAGGCGCTATCGACCCAAGGCATAAAAGAGATCCCATGAGAATGCATATCAACACCTGCCTGGCGTTTTATGGAATGGAAGAGCAGGAGGGGAGCTGTGCGGGTAGCGATAGATGGGTGGTAGATAGATAGGTGTAGAGGAAGGTTGGAAAAGTAGAGGGTAGGTAGGTGTATAGGAAGACTGTATGTATGTATATATAAATATATGTTACATAGATAGATCTATTATACCACACACACGCACACTATTAGTATATATATATATATATAATAATATTATATATATATATATATATATATATATATATTATATATATATATATATATATATATATATATATATATATATATATATATATATTAATATATATATATATATATATATATATATATATATATATATATATTATATATATATATATAATGTTTGTGTGTGTGTGTATGGGGAATATTGATAAACATGATAATAATAATGATAAAAGATTTGCCAAGGAGAAAGGATATACAAATTTAACAAAAGCCATGGAATCTGAAATAACTAGTTACTCATGAACTTCAGAAATTCAATGTTCAATGAAGAAAGTGTAATGTTACAAGCAGAAAGGGTGAGGGAGCGAACAATGGGCCAAGATACACACAATAAAA